CCCCAAAACCCCAAAACCCCAAAACCCCAAAACCCCAAAACCCCGTAGGTCTCTTTCCATAATCAGTAGAGTGTAAATTATAAAGTAAGTGCAATTAAAATATCATACTTGTTATTCATTAAAAGTTGGTAATTCTTAATAATTCTCATAAATGTTCGAACAATATTTTGTATCTGGGGAAGACTGTCTCATTATAAGTAGAGATTGGCAAACCAATTCTCTCGCTCCACCCAGTTCTTTGCATTCTCATGATATTATCAGAGTTTCTGCTTACCTTAGTAGATGCTGTAGATAGCATTCTTTTGTTATGAGATGATTAGGTTGTGAGAGGCTTAGAAAAATCCTCAACGCTCTCTCTAAATTGAAGTTGAGGGGTTGAAAGTCTCTTGGTGCTTTCATAAGATCTCAGTATTTAAGACACCTCCTGCTATCTCTCTTGAGACATATAAAGCGGAGATTTCAAGATAGGAGTCTTCTTCTTGTAAACTATGAATGGTTCAGGCTTCTTTGAGCTATAATAAATTAATAATCTTTCAATCTTACTAAGCATAACCTCTAGCATCATATTCGATTGGTCTGTCAAAGTACTCATGATAGTTTTTATGAGCTTGTATATTATTTTTCGAAGCCATTATATTGAATTTTTCATCCCAATTGAACTCTGCTACTAGTAGATTCTTTTAACTCTACGCTTTTCTTAAGGATTTTCTGGTAATACTTGCACTCTGTGTGCTAGGTCTATTACCGTATTTAGACTATCCTGGTCTTAAAATAGTTCTGGAGCTAGCTCTAGATAATTTTCTATCTGCACTGTCAAATAGCAGTTGGGATAAACTGGTGCTTCTATAGAAATCCTCAATTGGAATCTCTGGTTTGTCTGGCTTAATCATGAGATCAACATTGTTTCTCTGAGGTTTGTCGAAAAATTCCTAAAAGATAATTGTAAAGACGTTGGGTAAAATATACTCTAAAGAATTTATGTGGGAGAGCGTTGTTAAGTACACTAGTTACAAAAAATCTCTCATTCCATGGGGCTTTATGAAGTGGTTTTTCCTTAAAGTAGTTGTAGCTGTTTTAATTGTATCTCTGTTAATTGAGATGGTTCTGATTCCTTTAAGCCATAAAGGATGAACTTTATCCTAGGGGATTTTTACCTGGTTGGGTTGGCTAGTATTGAGCAGGCATGAATTAGACTTATGGCTGCTGATTATTCATGTTTTGAAATTATTAATTTGGATCTTGATTTGGTTGACCATCAAAGCGAGGCATTTGGTGTTAAGCCTAATTATAATCCTGATTCTGTCTCAAATCATGGGCTTATCTTGCAGAATTGTTATTGTCTCTTCCTGCATGCATCTATGTCCTTTAAGGTTCATTGTTATCATTGACTTAGGGATTATTTGGCTCATCTAAATTATGGTCGTAGTTTTAATTGTCGATATCTTGGCTCATTTTTATTTTCTGCCTAAAATAAAATAATTCGAATAATAATTTCAAGCCAATTTACAATATTTTGTGGAACGGGGTTTTGGGGTTTTGGGGTTTTGGGGTTTTGGGG